TTCCTAACAATGAGGGGGTGGATTATAGCTTGCGGGACAACGATCTTAGAAAGCATCTCACTGATAAGAAGAAGAGAGCATCTCGGGAGCCGGAAGACTCTCCGTCCTACTCCCGAGAGTTCTCCAACTTTGACCTCAAGGCTCAATCAAAGTATAAGTCTCTAACACCAGAAGCTGTGATCACCAGGGAAGAGTTCGACCTGATGAAGCACAGGTTCGACGAGCAGGTCGAGGCGCTCAAAGCCAAGTGCGAGAAGAAAGAGTGCTCATCTGACGATGGCGACTTGGGAGAATCGCCATTCACCTCGGACATCCTGGAGGCTTCTATCCCTCCAATGTTTAAAACTCCCACCATGAAACCTTATGATGGGTCTAAGGACCCAAAGGACTATGTTGAGGTCTTCGAAGGCCTCATGGACTTTCAAGCGGCAACAGATGCAATCAAATGCCGCGCCTTCCAGATCGCGCTTGTAACGCCCCAGGAATTTCACCATTTCCAAACAGGGACCGTTACTAAGCCTACCTAAACTTTTCGCATAAACAAGAGAATTTTCTTCACAACAACACTAAGCAATAAAACTACCACGCTTCTGCTGCGCTACTCTGATTTCCAACACTCACGAGAGCTTGAACAATTAGAACAACAACACTAATGTTTTAAGAGAAACTCACATCCTATACAGATAAACCATTTAATACCGACTTCWCATTAACCAAACCCTTCAAGGAAACCTTACTAACYATAAACCATCCACTAAATGAATATTAACATCTCGAATGGCAATGAAGCAAAAGCTAATTCAAGTACGATCAACTTAAACAAATGTATTCATAAATATCCTAAGTAGATTACAATCCCGTAGTTCAAGAGGCTAACAAAATTAATGCTCTAAAAGGATAATGAATCGGCAACCTTACAACATCCTTTAGACAATAGAACTAAACAAAACCAACCACTACCAACTCAACTACAGGATTAAATGGCCACCACTATCCTAACTAAAAGAAATTAATTGCACGCAGCAAAGCTAATGGTCCTTCCGATCAAGCCTCCTCTTCGCCATCACCATCCCAAGAGCTAGCTCGATACCTGCAAACTGGAGGGGAAAAGAGGGATGAGTACAACCACAGTACTCAGTAAGCAACCCTTATCTGAAGGGTCACGCACAAACAGCATACTTATCAAGGAACAACGTGTCATGCTTATTAAAAGATCAACACACACACATCATGCTCAACCAAATCATGAAACATTCACAGTCAAGCTTTTCACCACATTATGCATTCAAACACAGACACATTCTATAAAATTCGGTGACAACCACAACCAGGAACACATTAACTACCAGTACTAACCTCTAGTCTCCCTAACATCTCAAGTATCTCTATGCTTATCACAGCTACTCTAGCCTTCCATAGTTAACTCCTTCGAGCAGAGTCGGCTCCTGACCATTTATACCCAGAGCC